ACACACTCTGCATACACTAACACAACACACACTCTGCATCCGCTGCACTAACACACACTCTGCATCCGCTACACACTAACACACTCTCTGCATCCGCTACACACTAACACACTCTCTGCATTCACTACACATTAACACACTCTCTGCATTCACTACACTAACACACACTCTGCATCCGCTACACACTAACACACACTCTGCATCCGCTACACACTAACACACTCTCTGCATTTACTACACTAACACATACTCTGCATCCGCTACACACTAACACACTCTCTGCATTCACTACACTAACTCACACACTCTGCATTCACTACACTAACACACACTCTGCATCCGCTACACTAACACACACTCTGCATCCGCTGCACATTAACACACACTCTGCATCCGCCACACACTAACACACTCTCTGCATTCACTACACTAACACACACTCTGCATCCGCTACACACTAACACACTCTGCATTTACTACACTAACACATACTCTGCATCCTCTACACACTAACACACTCTCTGCATTCACTACACTAACTCACACACTCTGCATCCGCTACACACTAACACACTCTCTGCATTCACTACACTAACACACACTTTGCATCCGCTACACACTAACACACTCTCTGCATTCACTACACATTAACACACTCTCTGCATTCACTACACTAACACACACTCTGCATCTGCTACACACTAACACACTCTCTGCATTCACTACACATTAACACACACTCTGCATTCACTACAAATTTACACACACTCTGCATTCACTGCACTAACACACACACTACATTCATTACACTGACACACTCTGCATTCACTACACACTAACACACACTCTGCATTCACTAAACTATGCACACACTCTGGATTCACTATACTGACACACACTCTGCATTCACTATACACAGACACTGCGTCTAATACATGCACTACATCCACTACAGACACTGCACCCACTAAACACATTTCATCTAGTACATACAAACACTACATCCACTACACAAACACACACTACATCACTGTACACACAGTATATCCACTACTCAAACACACTCTGCGTTCACTATACACACTGCATCCGCTACACAAACACACACTCTGCATTCACTGTACAAACAGTATCTAATACACACAAACACTACATCCATTACACATATTCTAATTCACTTCCACTATACACACCACATTCAGTCCTGCATCATTGTCAGCGGACCAGGTAGGGCGTGGGCGGGCCCGGGAGTGAGGGGGGGCCCAGACCTTGTGCTTTGTCAGGGGTCCCAAAATTTCTGATGGCGGCCCTGCCCAGACCACTTCATTGAGCTGAAGTGGTCTGGGTGCCTATAGTGGTCCTTTAATCCTACTGTTTTAAGTGGAGATGCCAACAGTTCTGTTTTCTTTTAGTTAGTTTTTTGGGGTAAGTAAAACAATAAATTAACAAATTTGTCCAACCGATCAAGAAAATGCCTAATAATATAAATTCCATATATAATCACATCCGTGTGGAGAGACAAATGTCTGCAAAATAGGGAAACTTTCTAGTCAACTGCTGTTGATCTGTAATACTCTCAAATACACTGTAGCAAGGTGCTACTAGGTCAAAAGTACCTTTGTGACTGGGTTTTCATATCTTCTAAGGGTATTAAAACAGTGGCTGAGGGCTGGATAATTCAAGGCCGACCTTAATTGCGACACTATTAATCACTGTTTGCCTATGTACAGATAGCTATTATCCTGCTTATTATCCTGTGGGGGTTAACTAATTACATCCTGTCTTTGACTCCACTTAAGATAATATCTGTGCACCCTGTTAAGGAGGACTTTACTAAAAAATAAAGAACAGGTTGAGTCATGTTCTTTTATGTCTTTGCAAAAATCTGTATGTGTCTCTTGGACATCCCCATGACTCATATGTATGCCATAGTACCTTGTGTACAAAAGATCCTAGTTTCCATTATGGAGAGCCATCAACATCACAATTAAAGAAATTCTGTCAATCTTAAGAATATCGCACGAGTTTGCATTAGTTCCTCACAAGTGGTTGACATTTTATACTTGCATTTCATTGTCACTCTCAGTTGGTCAAATGTATGGAATTGTAAATGTCTATACTGTGTTTCTGTCCAAATACATACACAACAGATTTAATATGCTTTCTATTAAAGCAGATACAACGCATTATTATTTGTACATAGGTTTTCTTGATAAGGTAGGTCTTTGATGGAAACTAATGGTGCCTTGATGTCTGACTTAGACAAACAAGATTCTTATGCTTTGGTTTAAACAAAATATATAGTGTTTTCAACAAATAGTGTAATGTATGAGCCAGACTAATGAGTTAATGTGTGTGAACATAAAGATATCTCGTAAAGATTGAGGGGACGCTTGCAAGGAGACTCTTATGGGTCACAGAGAAAATATGTTTTATTAAAAGAAACAGCAAATGGCTGAGTGAAATAATACTTTTTATAGAACAGCAAAGTTATGAGTTGAAGGCTTTCCAGACAATTCAGAACTTTCCTCCGGGCCTTGTCATAGTTTGAATTCCTCTGATAGGGACAAAGTATATTTTCTTGTGAAGTATTTATTACTTAGCTTTACAGGAATTTAACAAGACCACTTTTCTCTGTGGATATTGTTCTGTAATATGGTTCTCTTATATCTGTCTCACCTGTCTTGCCTGAGTTCAAGATTCTTCTTTTAATAGCCCAAGACAATTGTTTGTATGAGCAGGCATCAGCAGCTGACTTCTCTGGCATGTGATGTAAGAAAAAGGTTTGTTCTTTCAACTGTGGAGAGCATTTAACTTTTATATGTGTATCAAACATAGCCTTCCCCTCGCTAATCTGCGGGGTTGGTTAGATTACAAAATGTTTATCGCATATAAAATTCAGCTATTTTCCCAGCTTGCATTTTTTTGATCTACATTTGCAATTTATTTGTAAATTCTCCACAGTACATCGTCTAACAAATAGATTCCAGTGTTTTGGTCCTTTACACATACAGTTGGTTGTAGGCCCTTAGCAAAAGTAATTGTGGCAAGATCGAGAGGGTCAAGATAAGTGACTGCCACAATGAAAACACTTGACACAGACGTACGAAGATGGTACACGGTAACATATTGTCTCCTGGTCCCATTACACTCAGGAAATGTGTGTAGATTGACATTTTCTCTCCCTTGCCTCTTGTGCGTGAGAGTTTAACCCCTTAAGGACACTTGACATGTGTGACATGTCATGATTCCCTTTTATTCCAGAAGTTTGGTCCTTAAGGGGTTAAAGGGTTATTAAACGAGACAGGAGCCATGAAATGCTACTCTATCCATAGTAAAATGAGATGGAATGTTTTGGGTAAGATTGGGTTATCTGACACTGCAATGCCACAAGACTTTAGAAAAAAAAAAAACAGGGTGCCCAGTCATTTGCCTCTATCTTCTGATAGTAAAGGGAATATTTTGTCAAATATTACGCAATTTAATTTTTAATCTGTTGCTTTTTTTTGTGCCTTGTCATTTTTAAAAACGTGCCAATTTTTCTCCAATGCAACATGTCAGTGAGACAGCCACTAGAGGCTGGATTAACCCTAGTGTAAACATAGCAGTTTCTCTGAAACTGCTATGTTTACAGTTGCAGGGTTAATACTAGATGGACCTGGCACCCAGACCACTTCATTGAGCTGAAGTGGTCTGAGTGCTTATAGTGGTCCTTTAAGTACAAAACCTTATATAATTTAACTTTCACTTTTTAGAACATGTTGATAAATATTCCACTAAGTGAATAACTCGGTAAATCAAATGTTTGTGGCCCTACTGTTGGCTAGTTAAACATTTAAACTATAAAACCGGTTTGATATCCTATTAACAATATTTCATATTGAAGTGCTGTGAAAAACTAAAATAGTTACCGCGTAGCAATTACTTTGATATTTAGCATGAACCTACTTGCAGACAAGTAGAATGCTGTATTTAGTAAATACTTTTTGTATAGTAATTACGCCTTATATATCTTCCTAAAATCCTTTGTACATGATATGTCAGAGATGTAATACATTGATCAATGATGACTTTTCTTGATCTACATAACTAACAAAGCATTTTTTATTAACTAAGCTGTGAATTGTTGTGGATTTAAAGTTTTGTGCTAAAATAGCTGATTTGGGAGAAAATCTCAGCTCTATTCAGCTGGGCTAGTTGGAAATTCACTTTGAGTCACTGTGGATATCAAAGAAAATCTTATGGAGAACATTCTAGCTCGTTAGTCCTTCTATTTAGCACTGTTTCTATGTTATGCTTTGACAGGTATTTCAGCTGTCCTTGCATGTGTCGGCTGGAGTGAGATCTTCCAGATGTCTTCAGTATTATGGATTCCTCTCATTTAAAAAGCTGCATACCTTCATGTTAAAAGGTTTACATTATCGCTGGATTGGATAAGGATTATATAAAGCTGCATTAGAGTACATACCTGGGATGGCCGTGGTTTAAAGTTATTTCATACGTTTCTACTTCTTTCAGCAGAGTCTTAATTTGTATTCCCAGCAGACAAATGCAAAATACATTGAAATAGTCAGTAGGTGGCAGAGCAACCGGTTCCTGGCATCATTTACCATTGCTTTTTCTCCATATAGGTTTTTTCCCTTCCATTTAAGTGGAGGTGAGAGAAAGTTATCACTAGCCACTGCATATTTGTATATAATTTGTATAACTCTAATCATAATCATCTGGTACATTTGTCACCTAAGGAGGACACATTTATATGCCTTTGTGGCTTGGAAAGGTATCAATTCAGAGCTTAACGTGTTTTTGTGACCTGCTGTCCATTTATGCCATTAAGAAAGTATATTCAAGACTCCAACAAGGCTTTTTATAGTGGAATCCGCGGCTCAAAAACCCCACAAACTTCACTACAGCCGGCAGACAAACTATGGGCGGCAAAACAAAAAAAGCAATACAGGAGAAAAGCTCCCATGGCATGGATACAGGAGACATGCTGCGGAACTCACAGCAGGCCGCGTGGTCCAAAATGGTGCTGGCTGACTACCTCTCCTCATACTCCTCGGAGGAGTTTGCCTCGGACCTCCTGGAAGTAACATCCTTTAGGCCCATGCTAGACTGCAAAACGGAACCACAGAAAAACGGGGACCCGGTCACTGCAGACTAACTTAAAAGGATGCTGGCGAAGCTCCGCAAAGACCTGGTGACAGACGTGGCCTGCTATAAAGAGGCCATTAAAGGGGCTGCGTCAAAAATCTCACAGCTGGAGGCCTGCTCAAGTACTCACAACACCAGACACACCAAAGTGGAACAGCAGGAAGCAGACCTGGCACAGCAGCAACTCGCCACAACAGATAGACTTGATGCTATAGAGGGTCAGAGAAGGCATTACAACCTGAAAGTCCAGGGGATACCTGAGTCGGTTGACATCGCTGACCTACCCCACCACATAAGGCGCTTCATTGGAGGCTTTCTCCCGCCAAAGCAGGTGAAATCCCTGAAGCTGGATGGTATGTTCCTGCTACCAAAGCCAGCTAGAGCGACAGCATCGGCAACTGCAGATCTCATTCTCAGATTTCAAACCCTCTCAGATAAAGCCTCACTCCTACCGGCTTTGCGAGGGAAAACTCACATACCGTTCGAGGGCTCCTCACTTACAGTCTTCCCAGACCTCACCAGGAGCACCCTAACTTGGCGGAAATTATTGCAACCTCTCCTGCAACAACTTTGCGCCAGGGAAATTCCCTACAGATGGGGAACACAACGAGCTGTAATGTTTACACATAACGGGACTTCCTACAGAGCACAGGGGCTTGTCCCGGCTGAACCTGGCTACCATTTGGGAATTTACCCCAAGAGGGAATCAAAGAGCCTCACCTAACAGAACACCCACTTGAGGGAGCAGAGGCTGAATCACTCAAGGGGACTCTGTATTCCACCATTATCACACACCATGTCTACCACACTTAGAGAATGTTTCATTTTATGTATATGTTCTTCATTTTTCTTTTTCTTTTTTCTTTGATTCGCTATCCCTAATTTACTTGCAAAGTTTATTAGCCTAATATGATGTCGCCCCAAGCAGTTTCATAAGCAAGCACTACAAACATACAAAAAGAGGAAGTAGTAACTACTGCCAAACACACCTCATTGCCGAGTAACCACTCTCGACTGCCATTCCCTACCCACCTCTGCCGGGTAACAGACCCTTCTACACTACTCATATAGTCTAAGGGAAAGGGGCAAACCCCTCTGTGGTTATCACCTAAACTGGAGACTCACACTCTTATCACATCCACATGGGGCTCACTGGCTGATTTCTTTTACTAAGTTTTTCATAATGTACTTAAGTAGTATAAGATGTGCAATGTTACTGGATGCCTACAAATGTTTCTAATGTTGGTTGTTAAGCAAGCAACAGCTGTTGGGGCATTGCTTGCCTATCTGTACCATATATGCACAACTAAATAAAGAATAAAAAAATAAAATTTAAAAAAAGTATGTTCAAGAGCAAATTCATTTTTGTTTAAACAAACAAACACACATTTAGAAAGGATAGAAAAGGGAGCGGGGTATGTTTTTATATTAAACCCGATTTAAAGCCAAGCGTTAAAGAAATTGTATGTGATGATATAAGAGAGGATATGGAAGTCTTATGGGTACTATGCATAGGAGGGAGCAGGGGATGTTCATTAGTAGTAGGAATATTTTACAAGCCCCAAACATTAATACTGATGGGGGAGCAACTGCTGTACCACAATAATAAGGCAGCACAACTGTGTAATTTGTTAATCATCATTGAGATTTTAATTATCCAGACCAGAGGTAGTCAGCCTGGTCCCTACTGCCCACTAGTGGATGGTTTGGGATTTCAGGTGGGCTGTGGTGGATTCTGCAGAAAACGCTGTGTGGGCCTCGATGGCCGTGGACCAGGGCCGGCAGGCGAGATCTTTTCATATGCCCTGCCGGCCCATGCAGAGCCAGCCTTGCTGTAAGCCCTCTAAGGCTGGCGAGGAGATGAAAGATCTCCCTCACTGGCCCGCTGGCACTTGGTTCCAGCAGAGGGAGGGAAGGGCCTGAGAGGCTCTGTATTCCTCCCGTGAGTAAGCTGGTTGGAGGTTTGTCGTCCGTTACCATGGCAATGTTTCAATACAGTGCTGGCTCGCAGGAGGACAGGAGAGTCAGCCTGCAGCCAGAGGAACTGCAGGCTAAAGTGAACATGCCATCACTGGACCACCAGGGTTTGTAGCATTATGTCCCCCTCCTTGACAAAGGTAAGAAGAAGGGAGGGGGAGACATTAACATAGATTTTCACATCTCACTCACACACACACACATACACTCAGCACCTCACAGACACAAATAGAAAAATAGATCAATTTAAGTAATTTTTTTTTTTTAAATAACACCTTTCTTAAAAAAATATAAAATTAGTTACTGTCTCCTTGACAGTCTCAGACTGTACAAACATAACAGTGTAACCAATGATGCCAGCATGTGGCTGCCAATTAATCCATAAGTCTACGCGTTTTGTGTGAGCAGCACTTTCACTTGTCTCAAAACACAATACCTTATGGTTGTAGTTTTCCAAATCCCTGTTACAAAAGTGTTACAGCAAACAGCTGATACACAGGATAAAGTGCATCAGAAATTAAATAAAGTCAATGTAAACAAAGCCTCAGGGCCAGATGGTATTCAACTATGTGTGCTTAGTGTAGAAATATCCATACCACGGTTTTTAATTTTTAAGAATTCTCTCCTTTTAGGAATTGTACCAGAGAATTAGAGAAAAGCAGATGTGGTGCCTATATTTAAGGGGTAAGTGCATAAGTTGTATTACTATCACAGTGTAGTGCTGCACTTATATCAAGTAGTGTTGAAGTTTGTTGCATTCTGACTAACAGCCAAAGATAAACCAACACAATTATTATTTAGCAGGCTCCATGACATCACTTAAATTTTCTATCTTATCTCTGAATGCTAATAGCTTGAATTCCCTGCACAAGCGCAGGCAGATCTTGATTATATCAAGACCAAAAATGTTACTAAAGCGTGCTTTCAAGAAACACATTTCTGCGCCACCAACCTACCGGGACTGTCCTCAAGACAATATCCCCAAGCCTATCATGCGTATGCCCCCAATAAAACATGAGGAGTGAGCATTCTCATACACTAAGACTGGGTATTCCAGTGCAATAAGCAATATAGGGACAAGGAAGGCAGACTAATTGTGCTGGTGGGACCCCTATAACGATTGCAAACCTTTATGCTTCCAGTTTCAACCATAAAGAAGGCTCTAAGCAAAATTGACAAACTAAATACAGGCCAGGTATATGTGTTTGGGGATTTCAGCCTAGTGCTTGACCCAGAGCTGGATGTTAAAAGTGATCAACATCATAACAAGCGTTATAAGAAAACAAGTACTCACTTGTGCAGAACGATTATGCTGACTATGATCTCACAGTCACCTGGAGGTCATTATATCCCGCTACTAGGGACTATACGCATTTCTCCTCACTACACAATGCATACATGAGATTAGACCTTTGCCTGACCAATCGCACCAATCTCCACAATTTGATAGAGGTAATTATCGACCCGATCACTTGGTCAGATCATGTCCTGGTGAGGTCCATCTTTTCCACCCTAATTCCAATATGTTAAACTCAACCAAAAGTTCTATGCAAAAGGTAACAGAGCAGGTAAAATATTAGTTATGAAACTAAAACAAAAATAAACACAAACCAAAATCCCATTTCTGCTTAAAGCGAATGGATCAAGACTGATAAACCCGGAACAAATCATCGATACATTTGCACAGTTTTACAAATCATTATATAACCTCCAGTCAGACACTCAGACCCCCCAACCTACACAGGAGGCCATTGTTGACTTCCTTCACACAGTCACACTGACACAGGTCACGAACGCTCCCAAATTGGAGGCACAATTCACCATAGAGGAGGTAACCCAGGCAATAAAATCACTCCCAAAACGGAAGGCACCAGGGTCAGACGGGTTTCCCAATGCTCACTATATCACCTTCCCAAACCGGGCAATCCACACAGAGCCTGTAAAAAATTACCGCCCCATTACCCTATTGAATCCTGATACGAAACTATACGCAAAAGTGTTGGCAAACCGCATGGGCACTGACCAAACAAATGAGCATGTTGTATTAAGCCAGTAATTATCTGGATACTGTCCTTTATGTTTAGGTTACACTTACATTGCTACGACCGTGGGTTATTGCTTACTTTATCTCTGTATTTTTCTTTAGACAGTGTAGGCCTATGTTATTCATTACAAAATGTTAAGCCTGATGACCTATTGCATGTGTTATGACATGGAGTGCAAATGCAATGTCTATTAGATGATAGAGGTATTGAACAACCAAGCTGCTCCTAATGATGTTGTGCACCAGCTAATCTAATAGTAAGATGGTATGTACTGCGGCTCCCGTAGGGAACCAAAATTGTTGTTCCACTATGCTTACTGTCAGTCACAGGGCTAGTTGCTATAAACGACGTGTCTGTGCAAAGGTCCCTTCTGTATCTACTGTGTGTCTACTTTGTATCTATTCTGTATCTACTTATGTCTATGACTTTTCACTGCTCAATATTGTACTTATGACAAATGCAATGTCATTTCTTTTGCAATATTCTTGAAAAAAAAATTAATAAAAATGTATTTAATGAAAAAAACAATCTTTTGTGTCTATATAATTTTAAAAGGTAAAATCTAAATTGCATTGCATGGTGCCAAATGCAGTATCAATGTGCCAAATGCATCAACACCTAGTCACCGTTGTTTTGTCTAATAACAATGAAGGAATTTTTACTTTTTTCAGAAAAACATGGCCTCTCTTAGATCTCGCTTTACTAAGTTCATTATCTTAACTAGTAATGCAGGTTCTCTCCAGAGCGGGATGTGGGAGAGAAGTGACTTGTCGTCCTATCAATATTTGTATTCCTGTGCTCAAGTACAAACTAAACATTTCAAATCTCTTTGAAGGCTCACTTTGTCTCCATGTCAGGAACAAATGCATTTTTAATTTATCTTTCTTTTTTGCTCCTACAAAATATTGCTTATGTTGTGCTTTTGATCCTGCTTATTGGAAAATATAAGGCCCCCCAAAGACATGTTTTATAAACTCACGATATCAATGTTAAGACAAATCTGCCTTTATTTGATCATATTTATTATAGATTTTGTTTATTGTTACCAATGCAAGGTACTGTGCATTAAGGGCTGAAAATCGTCATCTGATTCTGTGATTTCATTTGTTGTGTTGCTTATTCATTAAAAAAAAAATAACAACATACAAAAATAATAGAGTGTATATGGAATGACGACCTTTTCATTTTGTGAGAGGTATATTCACGAACGCAGAAGTTATGGAGAGTTGACAAAGAAATGTCTAACTTTAGGCCATTATAGCCGAACTGGAAAACATTTCAGCTCCACTATTTTTCCAGCATGGGTATTTTGGAATTGGAATAAATTTACAATTTTCTTTTCAATTCTGCGCAATCCTTTGTTTATTGAATAAATCTCAGATGTTTTGAAGTTTGAACATGCTAGACAGGTATATTGAATAGTCCAGTTTTTCCATCAAGTAACCAAAGCATGCCTATAGTTAGGGAAATGCACAGTATTGTTTACGGAAGTCCCGATTTTCCCTGGTCTGAATTTGAAAAAAAAAAGAATCATCCAGATCAGGATTCTCAAAATATGAACATTAAAAGGGATACTATAGGCAGTAAAACATTTTTAGCCTAATGAAGTGGTATTGATGTATAAATTATGCTCCTGCAGTTTTACAGCTTAATTCTCTGCCATTCCAGAGACACTATAGGCACCCAGACCACTTCATCTCATTGAAGTGGTCTGGGTGCAGTGTCACTGTTCCCTTAATGCTGCAATGTAAAATATAGCAATCTCAGAGAAACTACAATAATTACATTGCATGGTTAATTTCACCTCTAGCCGCTCAGTTACAAGTGGGGCTTCCTGACTTTGAACAGAGTTTAATTCCATTAAACGATGCTGGTCAAATTGGTTCAATGATTTTTATGGGGAAGAGCAGAAAAGCAAACGGGCTAACTTCATACAAATTAAATAGTCCTGCCTCGTAATGAAAAGATCCTTACATAGAAAAACCCATATTAAATGTCAAGTGTCACTATGTATCAAGTGAACATGAAATTGTTATCCTGTCCTGGGGATTGATCTACTAAGTAGCACTGTGTAATATATTATAAATCGTATCAATATATGATGAAACACGCTTAGGATTTAATCACGTACTGCCTGTGTGGTCCACTGAGTCATGCCAACTTAGGTTACAGTTTGAGGAAAACCCAAACCAGTCTCTTAAGAGAGTACGTGCACGAACATTACATCCCACATGTGAGGAACTACTAAATAGTATACCCTTAAGCCAAGATATTAAACAGCCCATCCGCTGTATAGGCACCTGTGATGCTGGTTGGCAAAACATGTACACTATTCTGCAAGAAATGTTGGCCAATTTTAAAAAATGATCAACATCTTAAGGATGTTCTTACAGAAAGTGTTTAAGAAGGCTTTGTAAGTCACATGCAGGGAGGTGTGACTACGGCTGCATAAACAAAGTGATTTAACTCCTTAATGGCAGAGAATTAAGCAGTGAGACTGCAGGGGCATGATCTATACACCAAAACTGCTCCATTAAGCTAAAGTTGTTTTGGTGACTATAGTCAGGGCCGGCCTTAGGGGTGTGCGAGCTGTTCGGCCGCACAGGGCGCCGTGGAGCAGGGGGTGCCCTGCGGCCGACACAGCTCACACATGGCCGGCTACCCGGGTGGAGGATTACATTATTCTCCACCCGGGATTAGAAAAAAACCTCCCAGCATTGCAACGGGGGCGGGGCTTACCTTGCGGCAGCTAATTGATGGCTGGGGCGGGGCTAAAATGACGGCTGCATGGGAAACAGGAAGGAGTCCCTGCTTCACCAACAACCAGACCCCAGGAGCTGCCTGCACTGCCTTCACTCCTCCAGACCATAAAGGATAGAGGTAACCATGTATGACTGCCTGTTTGTGAGTGTGTGTGTGTGAGTATGTGCAACTGTCTGCCTCTGTGTGTGAGTACCTGTGTGTGTTTAACTGTCTGCCTGTGCGTGTGTGTGTTTAACTGTCTGCCTGTGTGTGTTTAACTGTCTGTGTGTGTGTGTGTGTGTGTGTGTGGCTGTCTGCCTCTGTGTGTGTGAGTACCTGTATGTGTGTGTGGCTGTCTGCCTGTGTGTGGCTGTCTGCCCATGTGACTGCCTGCCTGTGTGTGTGTAGCTGTCTGCCTCTGTGTGTGTGAGTATGTGTGTGTGTGTGTGTGGCTGTCTGCCTCTGTGTTTGTGTGTGTGTGTGTGTGTGTGTGTGGCTGTCTGCCTCTGTGTTTGTGAGTACGTGTGTGTGTATGTGGCTGTCTGCCTCTGTGTGCGTGTATGTGGCTGCCTGCCTGTGTGTATGTGGATGTCTGTGTGTGTGTGGCTGTCTGCCTCTGTGTGTGTGTGTTTGACTATCTGCCTGTGTGACTGTCTGCCTCTGTGTGTGTGACTGTCTGCATGTAACTGTGTGTGTGTGTGAGAGAGAGGCTGTGTGTATGTGATGGTCTGTCTGTACCTGTGTGTGGGGGGGTAGGGCGCTGCAAAGATTTTTCGCACAGGGCGCCTAAGGGCCTAAGGCCGGCCCTGACTATAGTGTTCATTTAATAAGGTGTATTCTGAAATATTGGCTTAGAATGAGACAGAATTTTATCTTGATTTCAGTCTGTCCAACCAGCAGGTAAATAATTAAACCTTCTTCGTTGTTTTTCAAAATGTTATAGTAGTAGCCAAACAATTTTCCAGTGGCAAATGCAGGATACCCATAAATACTGTAAACTGCAGTATGTTAATCAATGTGACTCCTTTTTAATGTCACTGTGTTATGTTGACACATGAGGGAAAGCTATTATCCGCAATACAAGTTATCCACCTTTGTGTATCTCATATCCCTCAGTTGCCATGCCCTCATTCATGTTTCTAATTCCTTTAGTATCTATACCCCTTTCCAGTATCTGACCTCATTTTCTCTCACCTCAGTTTCTCTTAAAATAAACTTTCTCTCTAACCACTGTCATGCCAAAAGCATGAGTTGGTGTTTGATGTGTGTTTATATATGTTAAGAGTTGTTTTTTTGTAAACCTTGGGATGACATTTATTGTGGTCTTTGATCTTGCACCAGGCCTAGACCATAAAACATCTAGATAGCCATCA